TTTTCTTTTTTTCTTTTGTCAGCCAATACTGCAGCTTCCTCCCTGCCCTCTCTATACCAGCTGCTGGGCAAGATTAGACAGTGCCATGATTAGAGAAGGAATCACTGAGGGATGCCAGAAACATGAGAGGAAAAAATTCTCAGGTAGCAGGTAGTTTACAGGCTTCATCACAGATGTCAGGTTCTCTGTGCCGTCTCTTACAGTATAAAATTACTTTAGGTATGTTTTTATTCCAAAATTCACATTATTGATGATTAGCAAGTGAGCATTTTTATGTTGGTTTTGGTGTTTTGTTCGATTTTTGTGTGTTTCAATTCTCCATCCTCAATGTGTAGTAGAGAAAATGAAAAACAAACAAGAAACCTATAAAAATACCTATGAGATTAAATCCTTGGAGCCTTCTAAATGCTGCTTTCTGACTTTATAAGGACTGAATTTGGTGCTTTGCCATGATGCCTGTCAGTTTTGAGCATCTTCTGTTATCTTAAAGATATTGTTGGGTTTTCATGTTTATGTTTCCATCCAGCTGATATTCTGTAATCACAGGGAGTCCCAACTGATGCAGTGTGAGAGATGGGGAACTACCAGGCAGAAAGGATCCTGGCACTTTAGTCTCCAAAATACTGATGCTGACCTCTGTTGCTTTAGATCTGAAAGTTTTGGGCTTTGTGGCTTTCATGGCCATTAAAGACAAAGAACTTCAATAACTTGAAGTTTTGCTGGAGCATATGGGATTTTGTTCATAATTTATACTTCTGTTGAATGTCACTGTGTATTTTGTGTACTGAGAAGGCAGGAGAGGAGTTTTATTATTTTCATTACCATAAATAGAGTGATAGTTTACTGTTATGTATGAATAGTTAACTTTTGTTGATTGGGATAACTCAAGTCCACCCAAATTTCCCTGACAGAGTTTTGTAACAAAGCATTCTACCTTTAAGCTTTTAGAAATCAATACTGTCATGTTGTCGTATCAGAATTCAAAATGTTGATCAGATGGATTTCTGTATGAGGAGATTGGAGTCTTTTGAAGTGGGATTTTTAGTACAGTGTAAGCTACAGTTTTGTTTTCCGGGTAAACAGGATACCTGAATAACACACATGCACACACACGCACACCTGAAATCAAATATGATTGTCTTTATTGTTTGCACTAATTTTTTTCAAATATTTAGGTACTGTATTGTAGTTGAAGTTTGATCACCTTTTGCTATAAAGTAAAAGAAATTTGCCCCATAAAACATGCAGAAAATAAAAATTTCAATGAAAGTAGATGTAGCTGGATACCTCATTTCTGGTGGATCAAGTAAGCTTATTTCAAACTCACAAGCAGTCAGTGAAAATTGATGTCAATGTCTCTTAATGTACATAGTCTTAAAGGAATTCTGCTCTTAAGCCTTGATTTTATTCTGATTTACTTCAGAGGATTTAATAACAGAAATGCTTAGTCTTCAATTTGATGTAAGCTCTGCTGGTCAAAGTGGCTGTGAAAGTCTCAGAGTTATGGGGGTTGCATTGCTCTTGATGTGAGTTTAATGTGAAACTTGTCAGTAGACTAGTCCAGCTTTGAAAATAGGAACGCCTATGGAGGGCAGTGCTGCTGACACTGTGTCACCCTGGGTGTGTCTCCAGAACCTCTGGGTGATGTTTTGGCAAAACTTCTCCTCCTCCACCACGTGCTGTCACCTCACCCCGTTGGTCAGTTAAGCCGGAATATGGTGATGGTGATTATGGGATCAAGTCCTGTTCTTCCCATCTATGGAGAATGTTGGCAGGGGTCAAAGACAGTTGCTATCACTTTCTCTGTGGAGCCAGCCTGGCACAGCTGGGGCTGCTCAGCTGCACCAGAGAAACTCCAGGGACACCTGAGAGCCCCTGCCAGGGCCTGCAGGGGCTCCAGGAGAGCTGCACAGCCCCTGGGGACAAGGCAGGCAGGGACAGCAGCCAGGCAATGGCTCCCAGGGCCAGAGGGCAGGGACAGATTTTGGCCCATTGGGAATGAGGAATTGCTGGCTGGGAGGGTGGGCAGGCCCTGGCCCAGGGTGCCCAGAGCAGCTGTGGCTGCCCCTGGATCCCTGGCAGTGTCCCAGGCCAGGCTGGATGGGGCTGGGAGCAGCCTGGGACAGTGGGAGCTGTCCCTGCCCATGGCAGGGGGTGGGTCTTTAAGGTGGATGAGCAGGTGGAAGAGCTTTAAGGTCCCTTCCGACCGAAACCATCGTAGGATTTTACAAGGGAAGATCCGTTCAATTTCTTGATCAATCTAACAAGATTGAATAGCTGGAAGGAGTTTTCTAGTAAGAGGCCTGGCTAAATATAGTAAATGGTAACAGTGGACTTAGAACCATTTAGATCTTCAAAGCATCATCATTCTAAATTATGCTCTTTATTTTGCTTTTGGAAAAAAATATGTGGCCTCTCCAGGTAGCTGGAAGAGCAGGCTTGTGGGCTGAGGGTTTTCTTTAGTATGGGACCGTGTAAATCCTTTATCTTGTCCGTCCCTGGCCTACGGAGTGAATAGAATAGCCTGCCTTGCTCACAGTGTGCTGTGGTCAGGAAAGCAGAAAAGGCAGGAAGGCTTAGGAAATGGCATCCTTGAGCTTCTTCATCTCCTGACAATTATCATGTCTGCAGATGAAGTGCCAAAAGGGATATTGTGTTCCTTAACTTCCAGAGCAAACATAGGACTGGTGTAATCCAGTAGTGAGTAAACAAAGCAGAGGAAGGTTGAGGGAGAGGTTGGTTTTGGTGCAGTCTTGGACTCAGAGTCCCACTGATTGCACTGATTAGCTGTTGGTGGCACTCTTTTTTGTCCTGTTTTTTTTCCCTGAGGTACACAAATGTCTCAGGAAAGAGTGTTTCAGGCACATGTGACTATGTCACATAGGGATCTAGAGAGACACTGGCTTGTGAAATGCAGATAGTTGGGTGTATAACCCCTGGGCCAATTCTCCACCTATGATGCCATGAAACAATGGGGTTTTTTGATTTGGATGGAGCCTAGAGTTCAGGTGTTGTTGGTTCTTGCCAAAGTTAGCAGAAGAGACTTGGTTTCATAAATCTCCATGGGAAACTTTCCCAGTTTAGCACTCCATGGGTGTGTCTGGCCTGGAGAGAGCCGTGTCCCCTGGCTGCAGATGAGGACAGCAGAGCCTGGTTGCACCATCATGAGCTGACCTTTTTGTCTCTCAGTGTATAGGGCCAGTTGAAGCACTTTCTGGACAACTTAAGAGTCACAGGATCATTAAGGTTGGAAGAGATTTCCAGGATTACCAAGTTCAGCTGTAAGATCACTGAGACACATCATCACACCACATCATGGTACTTGGCACACTCTGGGCTGTGCACTATTATGCCGTGAAGTATTTTCTGTACAAACCCTATAATAAAAGGTAGTTGAGGTTATATTTTCTATGTGCCTCAGAGTTTTCCAGTGATGCAGTTTGTTGCAGGTGAACGACGGTAATGAATTTATTTTCCTTTCCATTATGAGTGGGAGGATATCCTGTGCATAGGCAATATATCTCTTACTCAGGTGCATTCAGGGTTGCTTAATATCAATTTTAAATGTTTTATTGCTTGCTCTGTATTTACTTCGTAGAAGTGACTCTAGGTCTTAATGGAAAAGCTGGCCAGGTCTTAATTGAGCGACTCTGTTATGATTAAGCCATTGCATTTGAGCAACTAGAATTAAATACAGGAATGCTCTACCACTGAAATCCCAGACTACAAGAGCAATAATTCAGTATGATTTTTTCCCCTTTAAGTCAACAGTCAGTTTTCATGAAAGGCAGTTAAATTTTGTGAACATTCTTAGGTCTTTTTTAAAGGTAACCTTTGTAAATCAGGGACTAGTCTCCTGCATTTATTCAGAGAGATAAAACTTCTCTTAAGATGATGCCAGGAGCAAAAAACAGGAGGAGGAGGGAGGGAAATGACACACACATCCAAAAGAAGCCCAAATTCTTGTGTCTAATGTGTGAGATTTGGCAAATTCCCCGTGCAGCAGTGACAGAACCAGCGTGTGGGCACAGGGGCAAACAGATCCCTCTGTTTCTTGAAACTGTTTGTTTTATGTCAAACCGCTCCATTGCTTTCTTGGCACCTTCCATTGACTCTTGGCACAAAAGCCAGGGATGTTGAACCATGACTTAGCTTTCTTAAAGGAAAACACCTCTTTTTTCTGTTTTGTCTCCCTCTGCCCTTGTCTTTCAGTTATACCTGCCGCCACTTGCGGAGATATGTGTATGTCTTGGACAAACTGTATTTCCCCCACTCCCACTGCTCTACGCTGCAGCATTGCTTCTCGACCCTCAGTGACAATGGAGAGGAACTCTTGTCTTTAACTTGTTCTCACATTCTCAGATCCTATGCTTCCAGGTTATTAACCTCTCCTCTCCATTTACTGCATGCTGCATGCCCTGTGACTGATCTGTGCATGTTTTCAGTGAACTGATGAATAATTTTGATTTCTAAGGGGGTAGTTTGTGTCTTTATGACATCCTTGATGTATATTCTAAAAAGTGTGTTAGAAATGGGAGTCTACTAATGGTTTGGTTTGTCTTTTTAAATTTAGAATACAAATTCTTTGGCCTTTTGAAGCTTTAAGTGCTTTTTATGTTAAAGTATTTTAATCCATTTCCAAAGCCTTGACATAAGAACTTGAGCTGTGATTCACAAAACTTGCATTGCAGTTGTACAGTTTGTTTGGAATTGGTGCAGAGGTTACATGCAAGTGTCTAATACTTCTTGACACCCATTGTTTTTTTTGTAACGTTGTCTATATAATTTGCTTTTCAAGAGTAGAAATGATAGAGCTTTTGCCTCAAGTTCAGGAAGTTTTCGTGGAAGTTAATCACACGATTGTTTGTGCTGGAAAAGCCCTCTAAGATCGAGTCCAAGCATTGGCCAGCACTGCCAAGGCCACCAGTGACCCATGTCCCCAAGTGCCACATCCACACAGCTTTTAAGTCACTCCAGAGACGGGGAATCCACCTCTGCCCTGGGCAGCTGCGCCAGTGCCTGGCAGCCCTTGGGGTTAAGAAATTTTTCCCAATATCCGACCTAAACTTCCCGTGACAGAAGTTGAGTCCATTTCCTCTTCTATTGATTGTTACTTGGGGACAATTAAAGATGTCTCCTTTTTTTTAATGTCTGATTCCTTTTAATTATACAGAATAAGAATTATGAGAATCCATCAGCCCCAAATCCTTCTTTGTGATAGGAAATTATAGATACTTAACATAAACCGTAAAAAGGGTGAATTTAAAAGTAAGTCCTACTTGCCATACCCAAAGGATTTCTCTTAGCTGTTTACTCCAAGTAAAAATTAAAGTTTTACTACTTCATTGTTGATGCTGTGGATAATTAAATATATTAACCTAGTCCCTAGAAGCTTTGGGAAAACAAGGGAAAAATTGCGTGACAGAATTGATCAGAACATGGAAGGCATCCAGGGTGGAAATGCAGCTTCCCAGCTAAGACAGCATACAATAGCAAGGGACCACACAGTAAACATAAGTAAAACCAGCTTGATTGTCAAGGGAAGAAAATACAGCATGCAAGCTGAAATAGCTCTTTTTGTACAAAAGAAAAAAATTATAGTAGTACATAATGATGGAGAATTACTCTGAAGATCTCAACAGGACATGAAAATCTAGCTGTCCCAGGGGCATTCTCCAGATTAATTTGGAACAGGGACATGGTATTAAAGCAGTCAAAAGCCTGAGATTTCAAAGGCTTATTTAAAAATGAATACTAATAATAAGTGCAGTCTACACTACAATCTTCTTTCAGATGTAATGTTTTACATGTAGAAATGATAGCCTGAAAATGTAAAATAAATAGTGTAATTCTTCCAGCTTGCTTCCATGAAATTTTGGTAATTCTGTACAGCAACAGCACTACATATTGAGCTGACAAAATCACCCTTGTGAGACTGAGTGCTTCTCCGTGGATGTTGCATCTTTCAGGTGTTCTGTGGATGAAAATAAGCACTGATAACACTGTATGTGTTTTCATGTAAGAAGCTTGTGAAGTTTTTAGAGAAAAACATTCATCTAGTTACTCCCCACTTGCCACAACTGATGGGGATATTTTTTTGCTGGTATCACTTTCTGAAATGGGGCTTATGCATCAGTTGAGGTATATTAGAGTACATCAATTGGGAAGATTTTAAAATCTCAGATTTTCATTGCAGATTATCTTTTTCTGAGATAGGAGGAGAACGGAGGATTTGAAATAAAAATTGCTGATTTGAAATAGAAATTGCTGCTGTAAAAATATAGAGGTAGCTATTTTTATGGCTAATTCTCCATTGTTGTTTTGATATTGGATGATTAGAGAAGTACAGCCAGGAAATTTGCCTAAGTCTGTAAGTAGCATTGAATGCAACAAAATAAGTGAGGTGTCAAAAGCTTTTTGTTTGAATCCATGCATCCATCCTCTGTTAAGTACTACAGTGTTTTATTGTGTGATCAGCCTGTTTAGAGAAGAGATGGAATTTACAAATTACTAAAGGCAGAAGATAATTAATTGTGGTGATTCATAAATCACCATCCCACCATCTAGTATTCTTGGCAAAGAATATAAATTTTAGTCCAGAGCAGAAGGTCTCCAATGATGCTCTGATACCCACAGATAGTGTTGCCTGTCTTTGTACTTATCAAAAAATTACAGTTTTCATTACTATTTTGGTAGATTTTATGTGCAAATATATTAATGTTTGCATTAAACATGTTCAAAAGCAGCATAGGCAGCAGGGCAGGGGGATCCTGCCCCTGTGCCCCTGGGCTCAGGTGAGAGCCCACCTGCAGAGCTGCCCCAGCCCTGGCTCCAGCAGCACAAGGAGCTGGAGCTGCTGCAGCCAGTGCAGAGGAGGCCACGGAGCTGCTGCCAGGGCTGGAGCCCCTCTGCTCTGGAGCCAGCCTGGCACAGCTGGGGCTGCTCAGCTGCACCAGAGAAGCTCCAGGGACACCTGAGAGCCCCTGCCAGGGCCTGCAGGGGCTCCAGGAGAGCTGCACAGCCCCTGGGGACAAGGCAGGCAGGGACAGCAGCCAGGCAATGGCTCCCAGGGCCAGAGGGCAGGGACAGATTTTGGCCCATTGGGAATGAGGAATTGCTGGCTGGGAGGGTGGGCAGGCCCTGGCCCAGGGTGCCCAGAGCAGCTGTGGCTGCCCCTGGATCCCTGGCAGTGTCCCAGGCCAGGCTGGATGGGGCTGGGAGCAGCCTGGGATGGTGGGAGCTCTCCCTGCCATGGCAGGGGTGTGGTAACAGATGGTCCTTCAGGTCTCTTCCAACCCAAACCATTCTGTGTTTGTCAGGTTTTCAGTGTTCCATGGATGTGTGTAAGAACCTGGTGATGATGTGGCACAAGCACACCACAACCCACGCTTACTGGACAGCCAACACTGGTTAAAGCAGGGAAGAGGGAATGCAAAATAGCACATATTTATTTTGCTGTCCCTCAGGGAGCAAGCCCACAGCACCAGTTTCCAGGCAGCTTTCATTGGGATTTAGTGCCAGTGTTGCTTGTGGTCTATTGCAAATTCTAGAAATATAGTGGGTACCATAGCCATTTTACTATGCACAGCATTAGCATAGCATAAATATTGAGCCTGAGTTTGTAATGCAAAATTCCTAATATCTAATAATTCTGTTGTGACTGTGCTATGTAGTTTTTATTGCAGCAACTGCTTTGTGATGTGAGCTATGTTTGCCACTATTACTGTTTCCTTTTGCATTTCATATTCATCGTGTGATGTTTTAATGCTCGTGTGTGTTCCTGTTTTGTTTTAGACCTCTCTGGATTGCAGTCAAGCTCAGGAAAATTGCTTTTGAAGGAAGACTGGCTTAGTGCATGTACTGACAAAGAGGCAGCTAACAAGCAATGATTAGTTCTGGGATGCTGAACAAATTATGGACAGTTTTAGTTTCATAGCAAGCTTGACACTGTGTGAAAGCAGGAAATGCAGTTTTGCTGAACCTTGTAAATTGGGTAAATATGTCTTAAAGTTACAGAGGTAAAATTTGTAATGGATCAATTTTAATTAAGGGTTTTTTCCCCTAAGTAAAAAAAGACCAAGAAATACGATATCAAATTGACATTAAGTTTACCCATTTTGCTTATCTTTTATTACTTAATGCTAGGTTTGTTTAAACAGCAAAATGTATCTCATAAGATTATAATGCTCCCTTTCAGAAGTGTTTTGGCATTGTCTGAAGGGTATGGAGAATGAGCTTTGCAGCCATCCTTCTCCCATGCCATCAGAGTCAATGGAATTATGCAATTATATTCATTTAAGAATGTGCTGCCTTATTGGGATCACGGCCTTGGAGCTTAGCTTTGAGAAATGCTGCTAATTTACTAGAAATGGTTCTGTTGCTGCAACCTGATGCTCAAGTGCTGCTTAAAGCCAGCTTGAATTTTTTATCCAGTTTCCAGTTCCTTTTTCCTTGGAGTGCGAGCTGTGCTGGGGCACAGGGCCTGGATCCCAGTCCTGTGTCCTGGTGTGGATTACTGACCTGACAATGCAGGAAAGGTGTCTAGGTATCATCCTCAAAAACAGCTTAAGCATTTGCAACTCTGACATATTTTCTTTGACTTTAGTCTGTGAAAAGAAGGTGGGGAAAAACATGAGGCAAACATGTGTATTATTGAACCTTAAATGGCTTCTACTTGGATTAATTGGATTTGCTCTGTGGAGATGTACAGCAATTCATATTCTTTCAAATGAGGCTTGACAGATGTGAATTTTTTTTCTCCAATAATCCTGAGCATTTGTTGCCATTGAGTTTTTAGGCAGTTAGTGTGAAAAGCTCGCCCTAAGTTGGTAAAATAGTCAATGCATCAGCCTTGTTTAGAGTCATTCAATGCTTTGGGTGGGAAGGGAGCCTAAAGTTCATCCTATTCCACCCCTTCCAGGGACACCACCCACTGTCCCAGGTTCCTCCAAGCCCTGTCCAACCTGGCCTGGAACACTTCCAGGGATAAGACAAACATTGATCCTTACTTCACTGTGAGCTTAACCTGTCAGAGCTTTCATAAATGGCCCCACATTTGTCATAGAGTTAAAAGTAGAGTAATGAGGATGGCAGAATCTGGATCTGTCACAGGCAAGAACTAGCTTCACTTCATTTATCACTAAAGCAGGCTATTTTTGGAATGTTAGATAGCATAGTTTAAAATATTTTTCCCCAAAGAAAAATTTATTTCTCCAATACATGTAAAAAAATGGTAGATTTAAGCACTCTTCAGAAATAAACAAGCTTGTGGGTTTTTGGTTTGTTTTTTTTTTACAATACTGAATAAAAACATTATTTTTCTGCAGGATATTTAAATAAGATTCTGCACTTTGCTTCCAAAGCTGGCATTTTACCAA